TATAAACCCCACTGAATTTGAGATGAGTTAGTTTGTGACTGTCAGAAACCCTCAACTACTGTAGTGAGGACAGTCATGAGTACAAAGTAGTGTTTTTTCTACGTAGACAACAGAGATATATTGTATGAACCTGCATCTTAATTTAGGATGACAAAAGTACTTGCAGAAGTTGTACTGCTYAGTTAAGCCTACAGCCACCTGATTAAACAAATTAACAGAATTTTGAGTCCTATCATAAAACTAGCTCAAATTGTAAAATACAAGTCCTTATTCAAAGCAGAAAGTATTCACAGTCCACACCCTTTTCCCTTTGCAACAAGAATCAGTGTTATGCTCCTTCAATATTCATCTATCATACAGCAATTATGCAAGTAATTTGAGAAGTAATCCTGAGTTCTAGTGACATGGATATGACAACTTTAAAAATGAGGCATGGAAAATACCTTCAGCATTTAAAATTTTATTCAGCAGCTTTATGGGAAAGATAGAGGATTGGATATTGATTTCTGATTCCTATGTCACTAGTTGACATGAGCCTTAAGCTGCGGGTTCAGCTGTGATGCCTAAGGGAGGCATTCCTGTAAGCATAAGACCAGCACAGAACCCACATGGCTCAAAGCCTGATAAAACCAATGAACTTTCTCTTGATAGTTCAATACTTTCTGTTTAGCAATAGAAACTATTTGGAAAATGAGTCATAAAATCTGACAGAAATAAGGCAAAAAATTAATTTTATATATATATATATATATATACATACATATACATACATAGCTATATGTATGTATGTATCCAGGAAACCAACCTATTTGAATTATTTACTTTTCACATACAATAACTTATTATCGCATTAGAAATATACTCTGGGTAACGTTCATGGGCCAAGTTCATCTTTGCCATCCATAGTATTGCACCTGCATACAGCAATGATGGATTTGACACCTGGTCCTTCTTGATGACAATACTACATCAAATGCGGTATCAGAGAATAATCATTGAATGTCAGATATTACACCACTTTGAACTAGAATATTAGTTTGCTTTTTATATTACAGTAAGTAGTTTATTGCTTCTAATGACCAGAAGGTACCTTACGAAGACAGCTTAGATGTTGATAACACTTTTCATACACTGTGTTATGGACCTTGAAACACTGAGTTTGGCAGATCACAATCATTAAGTTGTTTTCCTTCTTTATTTGCTGTTTGCATTTTGATTTGCTGAATGCACATGCAACCAGTGATTTACGTGTGCCAGGAATGATATGTCAAAAACATTTAGAAAAACTTACTGTTTTATTTTATTGAAGTCAGTCATGAATGGCATGCAGTAGATTGCAAGAGAAACCAAAAAGACAGCCATTTTCAAAGGATATATAATCTCCATGCACATGTAAAATATCTCTTACAAAAATCATTAATTTTTGTTAAAAGTGTGCCTTTTGCCTCTTTTTATACAAGTGTACATGCAATTACCTGTCCAAGCTAAAACTATTTACAAAAATTCATAGTACAATACATCTTTTAAAGTGAATAAGTGAAAGGCCAACGTTTTCTGTTGTTTTGTAACACTGTACAAGATTAAAAATAAGGCATTATAATACAGGTTTATCACAAATTAAAAATATGTTGGTTTTCACTGTAATACAAAACTCTAACTTGAAAGAACGTTATGGCTAAATAGTCCTCCTGCTTGGGCAGAACACATAGAATCTGGACTTGCTGATATAAAGAAAATGCATTCTTTCTACTACAAGCAGGAATCCAACACAGGAAAATGATTCATGCTACTCACTAATGTGTTCAGACTCTTCAAAGCACTGAAATGGCACAGGTCATACATTTACTGTTTCACTTCAAACAGTGACACCCAACTACTTTATTTTGCCTCATGGACAAATTACTGGCAAAAGTGTGAAAGAGATTTAGGTGCATGACCTACTCTTGTTTACAGTGCTGTAAAATATTCAGTTCAGTATTGACATGAGACRTTGCTATAACCCAAAGCAGAACTTGGCCTATGGAAGTTCAACTCCTGACCTTCACAAGCATTCAAACTGGTGATTGCTGCAGGTGTTGTGGATACACAAAGGATGCAAATTCAGCCCTAACAAGCTGAAGCTTTTGACTCTCACTCTCACTTACAGAAAGCAAGGGAAAATTTGTGTGTGTTTTGGTAACAAGGGAGTGTCACTTGCCACAGTAGGAAGCAGCTATAAAAAAATATGCATTTTACAGGCTGGGTAAAATACCTTTCTAATCAATGTAAATGGAATACATTTGAAAATATCAGCCAGTAATTCAATGGAATGCCAGTTTGCAATCTCAGCAGAAAATAATTCTAAAATAATTTGAAGATAAAGGGAGTACTGGAACACTYAGAAATTAGCTCCCAAGACTAAAGATCTGTGATACTTATATAAAGAATTAAAGATTTCAGTTATTAATATTATCTGAAAGAGAAAATGTGCAAACTGACATGAAATACTGTGCTTACTATTGGCAGACAGCACAAACCAAAATAGCATCACTTTATTGTATCTGTTAATTGTTTCACGCTGCTGGCTGCACAAAACAGTGAACAGAGGTACATGAGGCTATTCTGCCCACAAATCAACAAGTTAGTATCCACAGATAAACATTGGGGACTTTTGGTTGCTGTGGGGCAGACCCTTTGTGGGGTACTCCTTGATGCCCAGGAAAAAGTTGCAGCACCGGACCAGAAAATTAATATACACAAGACAGGAAATACAACTGCATGTAATGAGATGGACACAGAACAAATCCCACAGAAATCCAAGGAAATCCTTCTGATGATTTTCAGGGATATTGGAGTGGGCCACATACCATCCTAGGTGAATTGCCAGTAAAATTTTGATTATAATCTTTTCTAATTTAGCAGAAAATAAGCATTTGTGGGTTTTTGGAAGTATTACTTCCATTATTTTCCCTCTCTTTCCATCTGTAAAACATGTTAAACATGTCAAAGAATGCAGAAGAACAGAGAGATTAAATATGTCATTTAAAGGTGTCACACAAGAGCTGAAATCAAACAAATGCAGACAGAAAACGAAAATTATATGGATAGGGAGGGAAAACACAGCTTCATTATATCATGATTTCARTGGGCATTTAGCTTTCCTTGTTGAAACGGCTGCTGAATCCTGCCTATCATTTTTATATGGTATTTGRTTAATTTGTGCCTGAACTTTTTTCACAACTGTGTACAGCTCAGTTTAGGACTACACAGTAATAWATAGTTTTCCCCATAGTAAAACAAGCAACAACAACCATAAAAAATATGAAAAACACTAACGATAGGATAATGATGTTAATGATAATGAACTTAATGAGAATGATRTTAACCTGGTCTATTGGCAGGTGTCCTTGCCTATGGCAACAGGTCCCTTCAAACCAAAGCATTCTATCTATCTATGGCTTTAAGTCTGAAAAGGAACTCCAAATACACCATCATTGATTCTGTAAGCCATGACATACACACCAGCTTGCCTGCAGTACCAACATGCCATCTGGGTCCACTCAACCTGCGCTGGGAGGCACAGACCTCCTGCAAAAGTACAGAATGAGAACTGATGATGGACTGTGACTGTCTGGGCTTTCCCATTCACCATGGAAAACATTCTTACAAAAGTTGCACGCCTCAACTCTTTGGCTGTTGGAAAAGAGGATCAGGCTTGGAAAATCTTTGGACTAATTCTACTTAATTAGCACCTGGTAATAATTTAAAATGTTAACATGAATGATCTAAATTTACCTTGCCACATGATCTTCCAGTGACATTGCCAGGCTGGAAAAGAATCTGGGAAGGAGAACAGTCMCAAAAATATCAGCAGAGGGGACAATTAATTTGTGCTCACTGTCCATTTAGTAATAAAAAAAAAAAAAATGGCCTATATCTTGAGCCTAATAAAAAGAAAAACAAAAAATTTCATTGCAAGTTTTCGGTGGGTCAATGAGTGTCTGGTTGATGTGTTCACATGCTGCCAGATCTACTGCTAGGATCTGACGATGCTTTTAGTTTATTATTATCAGTGAAATGATACCAAATTCACAGATTCAAAAACTGTGTAGCACTGGCTCTTTGAGAGTGGAACTGACTGATTAATGCTGTTGCACATAATGATTCCCAACTTGGTTAAATATTTAACTTACACATGTGATGATTTAGTTCTTGTTAACCTGCTAGAAAATAACTATGTGGTATGCTTTACATAAATACCACTTATTCATTTTAATTATGTAAATAGTTGTTCCTTTAGATTTCTATTCTCTACATGTATATTTTTAAATGGTTTTGAATGCCTCAATCCATAAATAAATTATTCTGAAAGAATATCTGTGAACTGAATAGCTCTTAGGGAGACAAAGAAATGAAGTGACTTTCTTCAGATCATTCAGGGTGCATATACCCTGTACAGTACAGTTAGGAAGCATTTCTCAGGTTTTTATAATCACCTTAATCCTAGCACTACCTTTGCCAGCTTTGTAATGAAGCACCTAGCTGACAGAGTACATAAAAATTAATCTAAAACTCTGGTGAAAACTACTGAAGTCCTACTATAGCCTGATGTGGAGAACAGAAATTATTGCAACATTCCTTTAAGCCTTGGTATCTGCTGACATAGTGCTGTCATGTTATGTCACTTTCAAATAAATAATTTAACACAAATACTTTAATACATTTTAACACAAAGCAAAAAGGAGAATCTCTCAGAACCTTCTTTCCACTGAAATCTATAACAAAATAGGCCCACCGAAGGGAAATGGGACATCTATAGTACAAAAAAGTTTTCTGTTGTACAATCTGGACAACTTCTGCATTCTGGAGTGGGGTTTTTAGTTTTGTGGGTTCTTTTTGTTGTTTGGTTGGTTGGTTTCTTTTGTTTTTGTTTTTTTTTACTTTTTTTTTTTTTTTTTTTTTTTTTTTTTTTTT